AAATTCAAAGTTGAATCTAATTTCAATTTCCAATATATGACAAGGATTTCAAATTTAGAATATTGTCCAAATGACATTGCTTAAGAAATCGTTTGGAAACAAGCAAATTGCAAATTAATTATACGTAAAAACATGTCGAATAATCCAAGTATTATCTCAAAATAACATGTCTTCTATGGCAACACGGCCAAGTGACAATCTATTGGAAAGCAGACAAATGTCATTCATCAAAATGGTCTAACCCGTAATCCAAATAACATGTCAATATATCTTTGAACTTTTAATTTTGACCCTCAGTCATTCTAAAATTTGAAATTATAAGTTAGTTCTTTTTATCTCAAAATAACATGTCTTCTATAAAAATATTTGTAATGGTATGACGTGTCCCATTTCGTTATTAAATAGTAATAATAAAAAAATAATGCTACATATACATTATCATTTATAAATTAATTACATGACATCATATTAAAATTTAATTAATTATCTTTTCTTTTTTCTTGTTATCTTTTTCAAACTCTTTTATTTTATTTTATTTTATTTTTTATTTTTTTCCTTCTGTACATCAATTGGAAGTGAGTACATGTAGCCTTACTTTTAAAAAAAGAAAAAAAGATAAAAAAGGGAAAACTTGTAAAATTGGTAAGAAGTATTAAAAACTACAATAATTTTTTGAGACAACACCTCATTTTAATCACACACTACCGAAGGATAGTACAAATATATACAACAAAACATTACACAACTTACTCTTTCTTCTATTGGAGTATATCGCGAAATGCTATGTGTGCACTACTGTGTACACACAGCATTACACCCCCCTCTAACATGAAAGGGCTCACATATAATAAAATATTCGTAGACCCCCTCTATGTGAGAATAGTGTAACCCATTGTGTACGCCATGAGATGTGCACATAGCATTTTTCATATCACCAAACCTTAATCCATGAAAACGTGTCCAATTAATATCGTCAAATCAAGTTTCTTATATGACATTCAACAGATGAATTAAAAACCCTAAAAAGGAAGCGATAAAAAACAGAGCACTTAGTAATGTCTAACTGCTTAAGTTAGAGCAATCAATGTACGAGGATACTGCTGGAATTCAATTAAAAATCCAGCACTGATAAAGAATTGAGCTCAACTACTTTACAAACAAACTACTTTCAGAAATCTATAAGAATATGATTCATTATTACAGAAGAATAATATCCAACATAACCTACACTAAACATAGATTTGTGCAAAATGGGCCTCAAAATAAAGACAAAAAGTACTTGGTCGCCAACTTTACAACTCCTCCATCCTAAGATTATAAAAAGAATTACAAATTCTTTGGCTAATCTCAGCAGAATACCATTGCATCTAAAGAATCTTCAGCAAGGAATTTTACAATTCCATGCTAAAGAGAAGAAGCGAAAAAATCTCGAGGCTCATTTGCCACCAAAAATTATCATTTTCCCTGTGCTACTTTTGCAAAATTTCAGGAATATGGAGTAACGAAAAGACACTAATCATCATCATCATCAGTTAATAAAGCAAATGAAAAGGGCTTAAATTTATAGCCATCGCCATTGTAGAACTTGTTTTGAAATTCAACCCAATGGAGACGCAATGCGTGCAGGAAAGCACTAAGACTTTCCATCATTAATAGTATAAAAGCTGTAGCAAAAGCAAAAACTGCCAGACCAATCAATCGTATGACGATGTTGTCGTACCTGCATTCATAAACAATGGTAGGCGTGAAAGTGGGTAGATCTCACTTGCAGTTGAGCACAGGAAGAAGATGAGCATTATAAGCTAGAGCGGTATTATCTCACTTCCACCTACTCTCTATTTTTTCCTTTTTCATACAGATAAGCGCATTATGGTTTGCAGCATTGTTATCGAAACACAGGATTATAGCTTCTCCATACAAACCCAAACATTGATCACTGGGAAACTCAAAAGGAAAATGTTTGGAATCACTTCATATCGAGTAAGATTACCTGCTGTCTCCTAACCAACTAGCCGGGTAAGCCAATTTAACTATACCATGGTGGACAACTAAAGGAGACACCAAGTTGGTAATGATCCAAAATAGTAAGCAGGTTATAATTAATCACCTAGGCATGGCATTGAATTTCGGGGTGGCAGGGTAATTGACACGAAACAGGTATATAAAGTATAAGGGAAAAACAATTTAGTTGGTGGGCCTCGTACACCATGTAAAAATCATCAGGATGGTAAGTTAAATTGGACAAGGAACATAATGCACAAGAGTAGATCAGGGTAAGTACTTACCCCCAGGCAAGGAGGAGAACCTTTTCATAGAACACAGTTGATAATTCTGAGTGAGCCAAACTGCGATTACACAAGGATAACAATTATCAAATGAACAAATTCATAAATAAAAAATACAGTGAACCTTAGAAAAATTCCCCTACCTCAAAGCCCACAGCCGAAGATATGATGCAGTATTTGAAACTGCACCAAGTACAAACTCAATAGCGTGTATCATCTGATGCACAAAGACCTCACTGAAATTGAATTCATCAAGGTGTGGATGCCTCGCAGAGTCAGGTTCCTCCTCATTATACATGTCTGAGGTTCCAAGAATTCCATATGTCCGACCTTGAAATCTCTTAGATACATAAAAAAAATTGGTTGTGTCAATCACTGATTCATAGGTTTTAAGACCTAAATAAGTAGCTCTAATAAATCAACACAACAATACAAAAAGAAATTCAACTTATAAACCATATTATTAGGAAAATTGAGAGCCATGATCTACTGATTACATGAATATCTTTAGTTGGATAAATGAGCTATCTAAAACACAAAATCAGGATGCTGCTTCTCAGGAAAACGTAGACATCCACATTCTCCAAATTTCTTACTTCCAAATTAGAATCCGACAAATCAGCCAGTGTATGATGCTTAACATCATCAATCCAGTTTGAAATATCCATACGAGATAAATATATCAACAAGATACTGAAGCAGTTATATAAGATGGTATTTAGCCCTTGTTTGATCCCCATTATTTCTAAAATACATTTTTCTCCCTCTTCTTTTCAACCATACATTCTACAATAAAATTATATTACACGTAAACCCAAAACTTTTTCTTATTTTTTATCCACATTTTCCATCAATCTACTATTTTAAAATGTATTCTACACCAAAAATGGGGCTCAAACAAGCTCTTAGATTCAGCACCATTCTTTCGTTTCCGATATTAACATATTAGTAATATTTCTCAGGAGTCCGATATAATATATGTTCTAGTGACAACATTTATATTACTCAAACAATAAACCACAGGCAAACATATATAACTTGAAAAAAATAATAATAAT